AGATGAGTGTAAGAGACAGATATGTATGTATGTATGTATGCTTTCTACTTGGCTGAACATTTTCTAACAATCACGCCAGTAGTAACACTAATATATAGGCCTACGCCTGACCATCGTATTCTTGCTAATGGGCGAACAATTTATGCTTGTATATGACAATAAATGCGATCTTGAATCTTGGGGTGTAAAATGCAAGTGTGATACGTTTATACGTTAAAATACTCCTCATGCATGGTGGTATAGTATCTAGTTCATCGACGAATCAAATACATCGTAGTAAAGCGTTTGGGTGGTATATTAAACTTTCTGCAGCAAGATTCTTGGCAACAAATTCCAACCAAACACAAAGCAGAATAAAATTTACTGCAGTAAGTTTAAGTTACCAGCTTAGCGCCCTCCATGCATATTTTGACCAATCAGAGGCCAGAGAACTCGCTGCAGTAAATTTATAATTGGACTGCAGTTCAGGAACCGAATACTGAACGATAGCGCACTCCATAAACGTACAGTATAATACATAATACCAGCTGTGTAGAATGAAAGTGTTTATTTCACATATTTATAACAACTCTATACAAGGTAATATCAGGGGATAGGCCCTATGAGTGGCTAATAGTTTCTTAACCACTGCATATTTGTGGTACATAATTTCTTTCCAAGTATTGGTATGACAGGTTCATTGGTAATTCACCTCAAGTGCTGATGACAAATTTAAACTTCATATTCCTTCCAAATTTTCAAACTGAGTGATTACATAAATAATTTTCCGTAATTTTTTTGGAATACTTTAGGTGTTCGGGTGAGAAGGTAGGAAGGTGATAAAACTATAATCACCTTTTTTCGCATTTCAAAAGTAAATGATTATTTTGATGTGTAATGTGGTCTACCCGGTATTCGGGTAAGGAGGTTCCTTCCATAGTATTTCTGAACTTAGTAAAGTAGTGCTAATCAGTCCTTAGAGAGACATTTTTAGCACGAACTCAATGAAGATATAAAGTTCAAATACAATATTGCTATAATCCTAAATCTATAAAGAGTATACCAGAGCCGATATTGGTGTATAGAGGAAGGTATGTGTTGGTCATTTACCTTAAGTACTGGTGACTAAACATACCACATATCCTTCCTTCTAGATAATTGAAATTCTATTCTACCACACATACTACTTTTCTACGTTAACAACAATAGGCCTAATACTATTATAGGAAAATCAACCTAATTAAATAGCAATTTTTTGAAATCCATAATTCAGGTCTCATATCTTAGAGTTTCCTTGATTATTCCACCAGATCTAGTTTGTTCATCTAAAAAAGGACTGAAAGGGATGTCGGGTAAATTTATAGGTGCAGGGTCAGTTATGTCAGGTGTCTGTATTTTTATCTATATTTTTTCGTGTATCATCTGGAATACTGATCAGCATGAACAAATCTTCTATTGCTTCCTGGAATCCGCTAAGTAAGTGTCTGGTCCTACCATAAAGCATGAAATCCATTTACCTTTCCCTTCGCTTAAATGTTCTACTCTGAAATAGTTCAAGATTAGTAAGTCCTTCACATGATTTTAAGTTCCGATACGTTTTCCGATTGCCTGAAAATCTTAATACTTCTATACCACTTGTCAACAGTGGTGGCGCCAAAGGGGGCTAGGGGCTATAGCCCCCGACGGGGGAGCATAGCCCCCCCCCCCGTCGGGGAAGACGATAAATTTTGTCGGGGAACAAGCAAATTAAAAAATAATATTTACATGTAATATTCGTTTACCACCATATTGTTTGTGTTAACTTTTCATCACAACAACAATAATAATAATAATAATAATACTAATGAGACTAATTAAAAATAATTTGTGTTCTGTTATGACAAATGCTCATTTAGATAGCCTCATGATGGTTAGAATACATCGTGAGGTGAAGCAACATAGACCATGACAGCGTGGTTGACAGATTTTATGCAAAATTTCCAAAATATAGAATTTCACTTTCAAGAATGAGGATTTGAAAATAAATTAGATGGTTACATTGCATACTCTTTGTTTCTTGCTTTATTCAAAATGTTTTG